ATATTAACAATTCTGTGGCTTCAGAGGAGATAGTCTGCGTTATAAAGCACTAGTTTTAGGTCTGTGAGAATTTAAACTATTCAAGATGTAGCAAACATCTGTATTATAGATCCTGCCAAACATTAGTTATGGCAATCATTAAAACAATAGACACCCTAAAAAGAAATATGCCCTGTTAAAGCAAACCTGTTTCAGCCTCGCACCATTTATTTAGTGTTAAGACATTAGACTCACATTTTAAGTTGATTGAATTTCTGAGTAAGACCAGTGAAAACCACAATTTCAACAAGCCTCTGGTGTTAGTTTTAAAGGACCACAACTCTTCCCTTAACTTTTGGGTATACCTATAGGATGGACTATAATCTTGGGGGAAAGAAGTCATGCCCTCTTTCCAAACTATATTTTGTCTTGCCTCAGTAACACAATGCATTTTCTAACAGGGTTTCTTTCAGTGGTCCTCCTGAAAAGCTGATCATTAGGGGTTTTCTGATCGTATTCTAAGCTGACTGCACTGGCTAACATAATATTAACACCTTGTTTTTACAAAGATAAGAGTTCCCTTTAATTGTAAAAACACAGAAGCACTGTCATAGCTTCTGTGTATTTGCAGGTACCAAATGCCAACAAAAATAACTTGTCTCCATCAAGTTTTCTTACCCAGCACAGACGTAGCAATCCGTTAATCTTAAACCACGCTATCACATTTAAGCTTTTGAGAAGGAATACTTAAAGAAGTCCTGCTGAAAAATTATGCTTAGCAACGAAATCGGAACAAAAACTAACCTTAAAGTAGTCCAGGACTTCGGCTCTGTCTTAATGCCGTGCACACCTGCACTGCGGCTCCGCTAAAGGTTGTACTGGCTTTGCAAGAGTTTGACCTATTGAGTAAAGTAATAAACAGCTTTGAGGATGGCCTGTGAACAGTGCCGGTCAGGACCCACTTCCAACAGTTCCATAGCTGCTCACTATTGCTTAGAGATTTTATGTGTCCACACACACATTAAACTAATGCTCCAATAGGACTACCTGCTTTGAGAATTTACACTCATCCATACATACATATACTCCTGTAATCCTCTGGACTACATTGACAGCTTCCTCGTGGTCTAGGAGCCCAGTGTGTTGACATGTGCCATTCTCAGTTTGAGGCTGTGCAGAAGGTGTTTTGGCAAGCAGTCCCAGTAACTGGACAAACGCTCCCTGTGCTGCAGGACGGCCTCCATACAGAATCTAGAGTAAGGAGAGTAAGGAGAGTAAGGAGAGGAAAGTATGAGCACAAAATAATAAAAGAACATCTGAGCTTAAGGTGTAAAATAAGTTCACGCTCACCTGACTAGTGATTTGGGCTGAACGTTGAAAATCAATAACTCGTTGCTGTGAGCCTGTCAAGTACATTAAAAAGGCAGTTCAATTAAGTAGAAAAGATTTTAATGCATTATTTAAAATTCTTTTTAAAGATATGACTTGCTTACAGCTCTGTGTTGAGACAACAGGTTGTTGGCACACCCTCCAAATACAAACACCTCCCCGTCAGGACCGGAGCACGCTGTGTGCCACAGCCTGAAATACACAATGTTCAAGAAGTGTCAATATACAGAATGTTTGCTCACAAAGACACATCCTTATGACTGATCAGAGTCATTTAGCTGAAATTTAAAAGGGATAGCTTTACTTATAAACTTATAAAGTACCTTATAAAACGCCACTTAAAAAAACTGAACTATCCCTTTAATGTCAACACAAATGTTGTGTGATCGCACATTAAGATGAGAGGTTTACCTCGGGCTCTCTGTGTGACTGTGTTTGAAAGGCTTCCATTCATTTTTGCTCACGTAGTACAGCCAAGCATCACCTGAAAAACAAATCAGTCTTTGAGACCAGCTTTCATTTTGATGTGGCGAGGGATTACTTGCTGCTCCGCAACAGGTGTCAGACTCACTCAGCGTCTCTCTCTCTGTGGTGAATCCTCCAAATAAGAAGATGTGGTCTTGTGACACAGGAGTGAAGGAATGCCAAGAACGGCCCACGGGACCATGCTGGGGAACGCTCCTATGACAGGGTCAGAGGGGAACATCAGAGCGAGGTAGACACAACAACAGAATGCTCAAGGGTAGGCGTGTTACAGTGGAATAAGGGGAAGAAAGATGTGTAACTTTTGAGGCACATCGGATTCAGATTTGCAAAACATGACCTGATATTAAAATGGTTTTAATTCTGTGGTGGGATCTGCGGAAAGGAAAAGAACACTTACATTTCATGCCACTCCCACGTGTCCAAGTCAATGTAGTACAGGTCATTTAGTCTGTAGTTCTGTGGGGATGGAGAAAGGAGTTAGCGTTAATCATTATTCATTTTATAGTGAATAGGTAGGAGTTTAAGACAGCCACATCTTGTATTGCTGGTTTTAAATTTCTTTACCCTGTATCGTCCTCCGAAGACGTAGCCTCTGTTACCAACTGTGGCACAAGCATGAGCTGCTCTGGGTGATGGGGTGTTCCCCTACATCAGGCAACAGAGAGAAAATGAATAGAGTCAAACATTTCCAGTGTTGTTTATTCTAAAGAGTTGCAGTAAACAAAGAAAAAAGTACTCGGATTATGGCAGGATAATGACTGGAACAACAGATGAAAAATGAAGTCTGTTTAAAGAGGATGAGGCTTTTGTTTGCTACAGGGTGTTGAGTTGGTTCTCAACACGAGCATGCATGCAGGTGTGTATGGTTGTGTTGTGTGACATGAAATTGGTAGTGTCTGTGCATGTGCTCACCTTGGTGTTGGGCTGGCTCCATGTAGACATCTCCAGGTCCAGGATATGGATGTGATTGTTCCAGCCTCGTCCAGGGCTGTCCCACTGCAGCAGCAGACAAAAATGAATATTTTTATAAGTCAAATGTAAATAAACTGTTTCTTTACCGGAAATAGACACTCCAGCCTTTTTTGTATAACTTGCTAAGAGAATTTACTTTTAAACTTATAAAACTGAGAAATAAACACTGATTAAAAAGATATAGCACTTGAAGTCAGTCGTTATCATGTGCAGAAGAAATGGTGCACTGACCACAAGTGAAGATGATTCATCATATTCAAACGTCCCTTGATGATGTCCTTGCGCAGCATAGCCGTAACCCCCAAAGAATATAAGTCTGTGGAAACATTATCAGAAAAAACTCACTTAAAATATGCCTCCCAAGATAATAATCTGTGACTACTCTTATGCATTTATTATTTACTGTAGTATTAACTTCTCATTCTGTGGTTAATGTGATCGCACAGCTGAAACTTGATGGCCACATGAAGGAAAAAAGTTTTCTTCACAAATGTCTCCATAGTGAAAAAAATAGAATCCAAAAATAAAGACAATTCTTGATGAATTGGAGTAAATGGGGGCTGCGTTTAACAACAGCAAAACTACTTTAAAACATTTGTTTACAGACTTTCACACAACTTGAGCATACTCACACACGGACAGGTAACACACCTGGGCAAGTACATGCGTTTGATAAATGTGGTAAATGGGATGCACTTTTAAATGTACATGTATGCCCAGGCACAGCTACTCATATGCAGAAATGTTTTCAATAGTATGGTTTTAGCAAAAATGTATGTATTTGGAATGTACACAAGTGGGAGAGATTTTCCTCAAGAGCTTTCAACCAGAAAGTGATCTCTGGGTTAAGGTTAAGAAAACAAGTTGTGGTTTTAAATGGAATAGATTTCTATCAGAGAGGGCTTTTTTGGAGAAAGCCTACAAGGAAAATTCTCCCATGTGTTCTGAGCATACGACTGGACAATACAAATGATGTTTTGTGAGTGTAGTATTCCTTTATTGCAGGGGTGTCAAACATACGGCCCACCAAAGCGTCTAATCCGGCCCCCTAGACAACTTAACACACCTAATGTTGATGCTCATGAAGGCTGAGAAGTTTCAGGAGCAGTTTAAACAGTGAGCAGAGACTTCATGTAAAACGCTGCCTTAGAGGCTTTTTCCACTCTGACCAGAATAGAGCTCTCTGACATAACAATGAATACTCTCCATGGTCATTTTTAAAGATATTGAACATTGTGCAATATACTGTAAACCAGCAGCTTCAGTGCAAAAGAATCTGCATCAGACTTCTGTGTTAAAACAGTATGGGTGGAACCCTGCTGCTGAGGCACTGACAGAACTTCAGATTGTAAATGGTTTGTAAGGCAGGGGATGACTTAACCTGCTCCTTCAGCAGCTTCCACTTCAGTGGAAAATTATGAAAAAAGGTCACATGTAATGAAAGTGAGTACTAGACTGACTGAATGTGGAAAAACTAAGACACGCTGTTGAATTTGCACATCATTTTTCCTGAGGATATCACAGGCTGTTCATCATTTGTTTTGTATATGAACGAATGTTTTTAGAATGGACGTCTTCACCATTTAAAAAAAAAAAAGGGAAAATTTGAAGCAGTTTATATTTAAAGATTATTATGCAGTGGTTTCACTGGTCCGGCCAACTTGAAATTGAGCTGTGGCCCATGAACTAAAATAAGTTTGACACCCCTGCTTTAATCTTTACTTGTAAAACAAGAAAAGACAGTCATCCCTCACCTGTTCTTCTGAACCCAGCACCCTAGCTTGTCCTTGCAGGATGGCGGGAGTCCTTTAAGGTCCCTCATTTCCTCCCAAACAAGGGTGGGAGCTCTCAGTGGCAGGCGGTAGATCTGCAAAGTACAGCACATACAGTACAGGCCAAAAGTTTGGACACACCTTCTCATTCAATGCGTTTTCTTTATTTTCATGACTATTTACATTGTAGATTCTCACTGAAGGCATCAAAACTATGAATGAACACATGTGGAGTTATGTACTTAACAAAAAAGGTGAAATAACTGAAAACATGTTTTATATTCTAGTTTCTTCAAAATAGCCACCCTTTGCTCTGATTACTGCTTTGCACACTCTTGGCATTCTCTCCATGAGCTTCAAGAGGTAGTCACCTGAAATGGTTTCCACTTCACAGGTGTGCCTTATCAGGGTTAATTAGTGGAATTTCTTGCTTTATCAATGGGGTTGGGACCATCAGTTGTGTTGTGCAGAAGTCAGGTTAATACACAGCCGACAGCCCTATTGGACAACTGTTAAAATTCATATTATGGCAAGAACCAATCAGCTAACTAAAGAAAAACCAGTGGCCATCATTACTTTAAGAAATGAAGGTCAGTCAGTCCGGAAAATTGCAAAAACTTTAAATGTGTCCCCAAGTGGAGTCGCAAAAACCATCAAGCGCTACAACTAAACTGGCACACATGAGGACCGACCCAGGAAAGGAAGACCAAGAGTCACCTCTGCTTCTGAGGATAAGTTCATCCGAGTCACCAGCCTCAGAAATCGCAAGTTAACAGCAGCTCAGATCAGAGACCAGATGAATGCCACACAGAGTTCTAGCAGCAGACCCATCTCTAGAACAACTGTTAAGAGGAGACTGCGCCAATCAGGCCTTCATGGTCAAATAGCTGCTAGGAAACCACTGCTAAGGAGAGGCAACAAGCAGAAGAGATTTGTTTGGGCCAAGAAACACAAGGAATGGACATTAGACCAGTGGAAATCTGTGCTTTGGTCTGATGAGTCCAAATTTGAGATCTTTGGTTCCAACCGCCGTGTCTTTGTGAGACGCAGAAAAGGTGAACGGATGGATTCCACATGCCTGGTTCCCACTGTGAAGCATGGAGGAGGAGGTGTGATGGTGTGGGGGTGTTTTGCTGGTGACACTGTTGGGGATTTATTCAAAATTGAAGACACACTGAACCAGCATGGCTACCACAGCATCCTGCAGCGACATGCCATCCCATCCGGTTTGCGTTTAGTTGGATGATCATTTATTTTTCAACAGGACAATGACCCCAAACACACCTCCAGGCTGTGTAAGGGCTATTTGACCAAGAAGGAGAGTGATGGAGTGCTGCGGCAGATGACCTGGCCTCCACAGTCACCGGACCTGAACCCAATCGAGATGGTTTGGGGTGAGCTGGACCGCAGAGTGAAGGCAAAGGGGCCAACAAGTGCTAAACACCTCTGGGAACTCCTTCAAGACTGTTGGAAAACCATTTCAGGTGACTACCTCTTGAAGCTCATGGAGAGAATGCCAAGAGTGTGCAAAGCAGTAATCAGAGCAAAGGGTGGCTATTTTGAAGAAACTAGAATATAAAACATGTTTTCAGTTATTTCACCTTTTTTTGTTAAGTACATTACTCCACTTGTGTTCATTCATAGTTTTGATGCCTTCAGTGAGAATCTACAATGTAAATAGTCATGAAAATAAAGAAAACGCATTGAATGAGAAGGTGTGTCCAAACTTTTGGCCTGTACTGTATATAATCGCAAACAGCAAGCTATCCTACTTCAAGGTCTTATATTTGAAAATATATTTGAGAATGAAGAAGAAGAAGAAATTTGCTCCATGTAAGACACAAACTGTACCCTGTTTGTGTTGCCCCTGGCATGATGACCTCCAAATAAGTAGAGTACTCCATCAACACACACCCCACAGCTGCCTGACATGGACGTGTGCAGGTTGCCACCGGCTACATGCTTTGCCCTGTGAAGATTCAAGGGTTTTTTTGTCTATTTTTTGTGCAAATAACACATTTAGCGCTGATGACTATGGTATAAATGTGCAACTTAAATGTAAGAGCTATTACCAAACTCCTGACTCCATGTTGTACGTCCAGATCTCATTTCTCGGCAGGTACAAGTCAAAGAATCCGTGGTTTTGAGCATTCTTGTACAGAGAGAGAATAAAATGTGATTTAAATGAATATAAAGACTGTAGCAGAAATGTAGTTTACCTAATAAAGTCCTTACCTTGTATCCACCCCACACATACATAATATTTCTGTCCACCACTGCTATATGACCACTGCGCTCAGCTGGGGTATCCAGCTCAAACGACTCAGACGCCTCAGTGTCCAAGGGCTGTTCATCCTCCACCTCCTCCTCCTCATCTTCCTCGTCCTCATCCATGTCGTCATTCACCATCCAAGCAAACAGTCTGTCATTTTCATCCCTGTCAGAGTCGTTGTCATCCTCTCTGGCTGGCACATCCCCCATGTCTTCCTCCATCTCTGCCATTCTCTCTGCCATGTCAGTCTCTGCTGTCTCCTGTCAGGACAGGAAGCAATAAAGAGGTATCATCTAGGTTAGAGCTGAGAGGATTATTCGATTAACTGATTAGCCATTTCTTTTTCAATAATCTAATTTAAAAAAAGGGAAACAGAAAACGACCCACATATATAGCAATGGATGTCACATACTGATTTTCCAGCTAACATTAGTGATAATAGAGTAGACACAACATCGGCCTATTTTTTTCCTGTAAGTTTAACAGTCTCTATTAAAGTTCTCTTTTAATCCACCTTTACTCACTTTGTTAGCGAGAACATCTCTGATTTAGGGCAACGACGTTCGCTGGCAGCACGATTACTGCTGACCTACTTTGCTAGCTTAACTATTTAGGTTACACCAACGTTAGCTGTTAGCTTAGCTTTTGTCTCAGAGAGGAAACTAACTGAAGGTCCAAATTAACCGATAATTTATTTAATGTCGTAAACTGGTCACTTGGCTGGTCACCAACGGGCCGAGCAGGTTAACAGCTGTTCGTCAGTTAACATTCGTCAGTTAGCTACAGGACCTTTGTAAACTCGAAAACACAAAACATTTAACGACTCGGTGTAAGAAAATGCTAAATAAATGTATTGGCTATCAAAGCTAACCTACATGTCACTGCTGCTGTGGTAAAATAATTTGCACTCACCTTTACCTTGTGATATCAGAGGTTAGTTTATCCTGCAAAATCCAAAAGCAGCACGCCATGTATTTGAGGTCATCACAAGTATTCTGGGGGCACGACCGGAAGTTGTCGACATCTACGATCCGCCATCTTGATAAGGTCGGAAATAAACAAAACAAAGTAATTAAATTAAATTAAATTAAACTAAATTAATAAGTAAGGTCGACATAAAATAAAGTAGATCATTAATTAGTTTTTAAAATATGACATATGCATATACATCACAGCTATTGAAATTTATATTGTTTGCTGATAACACAAATATACTGGGGTGTGGTGAGAATTTGCAGCAACTTTTGGACTTAAACACATCAGAACTAGGCAAAATAAAAAATATGGTTAGACATAAACAAGCTTTCACTAAACTTGAGTAAAACAAAAATAATGGTATTTGGAAACAGAAGAATCAACAATCAAGCAGGGGTGCGTATAGAGGGTGTTAGTATAGAAAGGGTACACGAAATCAAATTCCTTGGGATGATTATAGATGATAAAATTTGCTGGAAACCTCACATCAAACATATCCACACTAAACTGTCTAGAAGCATCTCAGTCCTAGGCAAGGCAAAGCACTTTCTGAACCACAGGTCACTCCACATTCTGTACTGCTCACTAGTATTACCGTATTTAAACTCATACATAAGTTCTTTACAGCCACTACTCAGTCTACAAAAACGAGCTATTAGAATAATTCACAATGTCGGATTTCGGGAACACACCAATTCATTATTAAAAAAATCTAAAATAGTTAACCTTTATGACATGGTGCAAAATCAAACAGCAGTATTCATGTGTAAACCAAGAAATAATCTTCTACCACATAACATAGGAAATATTTCAGGAAAGAGAGGGTGGGTATAATTTAAGGGGGGGGGGGGGATTAAACTTCAAAACTCCAAAAATTCGCACATCAAAGAAAAGACTGTCTTTATCAACTGCTGGGGTGAGACTATGGAACAGTCTGAATGTGGAGTTACAACAATGTCCAAACATGAATCACTTTAAAAACAGGTATAAACACATGGTTTTCACTAAATACAAGGAGGAGGGATTACAACAGTCATAACTGATATGTTATATGTAAGTGAGTGTGTCTATATGTTGTTGTCATTGTTATTGTATGTCATTGTCATTATTGTAGTCGTTGTTGTTGTTTGTTGCTTGTTGTTATTATTATTGTTACTATTATCATTACTATTGTTGTTGTTATTACAGTATTATTATTATTATTATTGATATGAGTATTGAGTGAACAAGGGGTAGGACCAGATAAGTGTATACTTCTTTCTACTCCTTTTGAACATGTAAATGAGATGTGAATCTATTGTTTTCTTCTCTAATTGTCTTAATCAATTGCTTATTTTTATTATTTTTTTATTTTTACGTTTGAATAAATAAATTAAATCAAATAAAAAAAATCAATCAATTCTTTATTTAAACAACACACAAAAAAATAATAATTTTGGCAGATATATAGATGAGGAAAGGTTGTGTTAGGGGAGTGCATATTTATTTTATAAAGGTGGGTGGTACTTGGACTGTAAATAAACTGGGTTTATTACTTATTTATTTAATTAGGTTGTCAATAGCCGAGGGATAGTTGCATATTAGTTGTCAATGCATTTGGGAAGTTGTTGAAATACTGTATGAGTTACAAGAAGAAATGTAAGAAAGTGGTAGAAACATAGGTTTTACTTCTACCTACTCCTTTTGTTATCTTTGTCTTGTTTGTTTTTTATTTTTGGTTTGAAATAAAGTCGTTCATTCATTCACAGTGTAAAAAGGACTCAGTACACAGTTAAGAGTATACAAGCACAACAATAACAATAAGATAATAAGAGCCGATACCACAAAAAAATATTATAAGATATACAGATGTCAAGTATCTTTATAGCCTTTTTGTTGATCGAATCAAAGAGCAATGTCATGTAGTGTTCAACATCTGTCAGAGAAACACCAATGTGAGGTTTATCAATGCTAAACTTACATTTATGGATAAAATACTTTGCCAGAATCTTTACCAAGTTAATCATAAATAAAGTTTTGTCTTCATTTTTTGGGTACTTGAGGAAATCAAAGACCATCTTCTGATAATAATGTAAAGTCTTTAGAGATATAGTCCATGATAAATCTGTAAAAGTCCTTCAAGTTTCTCGTGTGAGAAAAATGCCAGAGAAAGTGTAAAACAGTTTTAAATGTTCATTACAGAAAGACCAGTTTTTTAAATGTCTTTTTTGTATTTCTGCATGCATATGAATCATTTTGAAGGACATCTCCTTAACATTATTTACAATTAGGTATTTATGAGGAACGTCCAAACCTTCTCCCAGTATATATAATTTACAAACTGATTCCAGTATGCCACAACATATGGAAAAAAAGAGACAATATCTTGTTGAAATAGGAGAGTGGACCATAAGCTTTACATAACCGAGTGTTAATATATGTATTCTTACTTTCTCCCTGGTAGAGTCCCCCCCAAAAAATCTAACTTCAGACCATGTTGGCAATTGATTTTTAAAGTAAAATTCTTTACTTTACTAACCCCTTTTTTCAACAGTTTATATACTTCAATAGTTACTTGCAAATATGAAGAATAAAAATTCGGATTTAGCAAATTAATTCAAAAACATCTGTCTACTTTAAAGACATGCTTGATTGCTCAAAGTATTGCTAGTCATTGTGCAAACAAAGATGCCAGGATGTTTATTTCAAAGAATAAAACCTTTATTATTCACCACAGAACATACACACAGACACATACAAAATAAAACTACAAGGATTTGATAAGATCCATTTTAAACATACAGTATCATACAGGAGCAATGTACAAAACAAGTGAAATGGATCCACCTGTGAATCCATTTTTTTTCTTTACAGAACTTGAAGTTTGCTGTGAAAACACAAGAGCACAACTGGTTAGTTTGAGCATCAGCGATGGTTTAACCTACAGTTATCTGTAATGAATAATGGTGAGCAAAGTGAAACCTCAAGAACACATCCTACCTGTCCTCGACAGCTCTGTTGGATGGGTAGTACACCTTAAATGTGAAGCCGCTTCTTGGGAATGAGCCCTGCAAAAAATCATATTGAGATAATACTATGATATAACTTTAAAAAATATTGTCTTTGTCATTTTCTGTCATATTGTCTTTGTCATTTTCTGCCCTCGTGTTGGTTTCTCTATTTCTTACCGGGTTGACGCAGAGGCAGTCTGTGTTTTTGATGCTGAATGGGTCGTATTTGTCTGCGAAGATGATGACATCAGGGACCGGGTAGACACGCATGGAGTAGTCATACGCCCAGAATACAGGACTCACATACAGGGGCAGTGGAGTCAAGTGGCCCTGGGACAGGATGGTCTTAACAAACTGGGGAGACGAGGAGGAAAATGACGAGAGATATGTTTACAAAAATAAAATAACATTTCACATTTCAGGTTTTATCAAAAATTCGACTAGGCCGAGTAGTTTTTCAACATCTATGGAGCAATAGATCATTGACAAAAACTTGAAATTATACATACAAAGGCAAATAAACCTTAGACAACAACTAATATACATATGTCTGTTAAATGAGGAAAAGCTCACTCAGTGTAAAGGCTTGTTTAGTGAAGCTGAAACTCACATGGTTTGGAATGTCAAGATTGTTATTGGGCAACCAGACACAGTTCCTGCACATCTTGTTGACCAGGTCTTCCCTGATGATGACGATCTCCTGGCTGCAGTACTGGATCCTGACAGGAAAAACACAGCAGGTCACTTTACGTTTCTAAGAACAGAGATACGGTCAAAACGTCAAAAGTCCCGTTACCAATTTCTCAAAGGCTTACAAATCAAATCAACCATCACACTACATTACAGATATTTTGACACTGAATAAAAGCCTCCTGTTTTACCTGCATGGGTTTGTAGTGAACACAGAAAACGGCACTCTCTGTCTGAACTCCTCTGTGATGTGATCTGCCAAAGGAGGCCTGAGGGAAACAGATTTATCCACATTTATCCAAACCACTGAATTAAACTGCTGTAATGATGTTAAAAAGCAGACGTCTCTGGATGTTTACCGTGGCAGGATGGTGCCTGGACCGGGGTCTTCAGGGCCAGGAACAAACACAAAGCGACAACTGTAGGATAAAGGTAAAAAAAATAATAAGTTCCAACAAACATGCCGAATGCAATTCCTTCCTTATACATGTATTTTAAATAAAGAATTGTTTGCATTCATTTTTACAAGTTTGAAGTCTTTTTCTTTTCCTTTGTTGGTGCATTGAGTAGCTGTGAAACCACTTGTTGGAGTGTATTGTGTCACCTGCACGTACATCCTCATGCATGAGTACTAGATAAACAAAGCAGCAACCAACTCGTAGAAAAACAGCTCCACAGCACTACTAGAGGTCAAAAACCTTGTTTCTGGAAACTTAAAGAATAGACAGAGCAGACTAGAGTAACAGTTCTCTCAGATCGTACCTGCTGTGAATGCTGGGGTATGAACATATAGCGTCAGCAAGAGCCTTCAACGACTCTAAAAGGAGAAAAATAAATTAGATTCTGAGATGTGTCCGTTCGGCCCTTTATCACACACAGAGATCTAAAAATCTGCAGTATGTTACGAGCGTCTCCCAAACATCTCACCTTTGAGTGATTTGAGCTGTGTTTTTCCATACGGGGCAGAGGAGAAGTTACCACAAAAAATGAAACAGGTGGGAGGCATTGAAGCATAGCCTGTAGGGAGAAAAAAAGAAGCTAAATGTGATTGTTGCCTCATAAAAGGTATATTCCAGGTATTTTTAGTCTAAGACTGATGCAGTAACAGACCTGAGAACATGACGTTGAGCTTTTCCATCACTTCAACACTGTCCAGCCACACATCAGAAACAATCACAAACATGGCGTCCTCATTCTCCTCCTCCAGCTGCTTCAGCTTGGCTGAGGCCTTCACTGAAGTGGTGGATGGGCCGCCGAAGAAGTTCAGATTGCCGTAGTACGCCCTGGAAATACAGCAAACATTGTCAGTGAGTCACTGCTCTTTC